ACCCTTCTGTAAGGGGATGCCCAATTGCCTACAGATGGGCTTTGGGTCTCCACTCCATACTCCCCCTCTTTAACAATGAAGAAGCCATTTTTTTCTTGCCTGACCACTACTCCCTGACCCTACCCATTGGCCTGAAAAATATGCAGTATCAAAGAAAACACCCAAGTTCAGAAAGTTATCCAAAGTTAAAGCTACTTGCTATAAATTACTAATATTGCATACCCTTTGAATGCTAGATCAATTCCCTCAAAACAAAACTCGCCACCTTTAAGTCAATTCTGACATAGCGAATACAAGTACCCCTGTGGTTTTCCAAGGCTGTAGATCTTGCCCAAAGCAGAAAACCTCTGTGGTTCTCCCAAGGAGAAACTGGGGGCTTCAAACTGCTGGCCTTGGGGCTTAACAGCACAATCCATTATGCCACCAAGACTCTTTGATAAGGGCCTAGAAATTAATAATCAGGGGGAAAAGTCCTATAGTTGACAGATTTTTATCTAGAGAAAGAATAATGAGTAGGAGATGGATGTGAGTAAACCAGCAGAAAGACAAAGGAAAGAGGCAGCCTGATTTCCTTTATTAGAAAGGTAGATTTTATTTTACGTTTCAAAATAAAACATGGGCTGGCTTCCTGCTGGGACCACAAATGATCTGAGACCCTAAACAGCCAGAAACAGGGAAGATGACGGCTGAGGTTCTGGCACCAGATACTGGGATCTGGCCACAGATTAGAACACACACTCATTAGTTACTTGCCTGGAACGGCCAAAAGCACAAAGCCCATTCTATGTGAAGACTGGGTTTTGAAAAATTTGGCAGATAATAAACTTTAATGGCACTTTTCATTCACACTGCTGTTAGTGTAAAAGCAATAAAAAGAATCCGGCCAGCCTCTTTCTCTGAAGGACTGTGTTCCACAGTTCCCACTTAGATGGCCCTTGTTTATTCTCGTGACTTACCGGGCAGCTTTACAAAGCCAAACAGAGGTGTCTGCCTTTAGCTACAAGGGCAGTGTGCACCCGTTTAGTACTAAGAAGCTGTTTGCAAGAAAGCTGCCTCCAGAGAGTAAGAATAGTATAAATTCCATTCCATTTCTTCATGTTTCTTCAAATTACATTAGAATCAAAACATTTCAAGTACCTAAAATTAACTCTTTTTTGGACAAGTTATGTCTCAGCAGATGAATTAAATGTTCCTATTATACATCCACCATACAATCCATTGAAAAAAATCTATAGCCAGTAATTTCATTTAGAAAAAACGAGAATGGTTTCTTTAGTTTATGAAAAAGAATACTATCCAACCCTAAAGTAAAGAGTATGAAGAAGTAATTATAAGACTTACTGTCTTTCACTTAAATATCAAGAACAGGAATGCATTATTTGAAAATAAAATTAATTAGAGAGACAACCATTTTACCTACAACATATAGAAACTAAATCCCTGGAACTGGTTTTCACCCATCGCTCCCCTAATTATACAATGATTCTAGAAATGGGGCAGAACTTGATTCACA